CCAGGAAGCTTAAAGTTCCTGCATTAACAAAATATTTTCCACTTTTTAATCCAGTGTACCTGTGTTAAAAGTTAATTTATCTGACATTATTTTTCAATTTAATTCAATATTTTTTTTAACTTTACATACTTTATTGATCCCTGAGGGGAAATTCTGGTTTACATTCTGTTATTGAGAGACATGCTTCTCATATAGAAAGGCCTGAAAAACACACATGCACAAACAGGACCTGTGGACATGCATTAGAGGAGAGATAAGTTGGGCTGCTGTGCTCAGAAAGTGACATGGCACCTCTCCAGCCACCAGACCAACATTATCTGCCATTAACTAACTTGTTGAGCAATTAAAAGGCTTTGTCGGAGCTAACGATCCAATGAAATTCATCCCAACATTATGCCCCGCCTGTTATATTGTGATTGGTGCAGGACTTTAAGGTCCGCCTCAGCTCCAACTCTTTGCTTCTTTCTAGTTTGATTTAGGTGGAGACAGCTTTTCCAATACTAGGATTCAGAATGCCTCTTTAAAACCAGTGGGTGAAGTCACTGAGACTACGTCCATGTTTTATAAAGTCTATGATTTTTACACAATTAGAAAAAATGGTGGTAAAATAAATCCCCTTAAAAAATAGAGGAAAAAAAAGTAAACATAAAATGTTGCTTCTGATTGCTAATCATGCACATACACAATGCTTCCTCTTGGACATCATGACTTTATTTATGCTCAGGATGGCATGTTTTAAATGATAATAGTCAACAGTTAAGATTTGACAGGAAAATTAGCTCCACATGGTGCAACTGCTATGCAAGACTTTCACAGGGGAAACTGAGTTTTTTCAACCGCAATCTAACAGGGAGAACAGAAAGTAAAAGTGGAACTGTTCAGAATGAATTCAGATATTTGAGAAGCGCCACAGCAATCTCTTTCCAAGAATCCATTCTCTAATGGTGTGAGCATGACAGAACTCTGGTTAAGGATATATTAAAGGGAATCTGCTGTCCATCACCATTTAGTGTCATTAACATTAAATTTATACCCATATTTCAATGAATAATTGTAAAATAGGTCCAAAATGTTGGTGTCAAATGAGCAGCTAATTTTTGTTGCATTCTTTATGGAAAACAAATGTATTTATTATGATGCTTGTGTGTATATTTCTCAACAGAGATCAAATGTGCAATACCTCAGATTCAACATGGACGATTAACTGGACAGCTCCAAGATCACAAAGAACATGAAGTCCTGCATTTTGAGTGTAATCAGAAGTTCAAAAAACAGACTGAAAGACCGTCAAAATGCACAAAAATAGGAACTAAAGCCGAGTTCAGTCCAGCGCCTGTGTGTGAGCGTAAGTATAAACTGAGTTATATCGGTTATATCACACTGACTGGTGGGAGGTGAAGGGTTGTTGTGGGATTGTCGACTGCCTCGATCAACAAACTGATGAACAGAATTTTCTTTTACTCCTACAAAATGCAGCAACAAAATGTAAACTACCGCTGACAACACTCGAAGGCACCAGATATGCCACTTCCCAAAATGTGTTTTCACCTGGAGACACAGTCACAACCAGATGTGGTTATAAGTACTGGATCTCTACACCTCAGAGCACCTCAGCTGTATCCATATGTAATGACGACGGAGAATGGGATATCACACCAGTTTGCCAAGGTATAGAAGTGCATGGTATCACAGTAATCACATCATGAGACGGTTGTTTACTGCGCCGTGTTTATCAGTCATTAAACTGTGGTGATGATGATTATTAATGCCATCTTGATCTACCAAAGATTAACAAGTCTTTCTCTTGTTTTAGAGGTGAGGTGCAGCAATCAAAGAGACTCACGTGTGTATTCTTGGAATGTCCGTTGGGGACAAATAATAACACTGGATGAGAGTGTAAACTATCGGTGTAAAACAGGATATAGGGCAGCATCAAGCTCGGCCAGGTGCACCAGAGATGGATGGAGTCCAAATCCACTTTGTCAAGGTATTGTGAAGTTTTCTTTAGTTAATAATATGAATATTAATGTTAAATCATTGAGGTCTAATTAGTCTTTTGGCTGATGTTCCACGGAAACATTCTAGACAATTTCAGGAACACCTGCCACTGAAATTTTCTAAAGTTGCTACTCACACTTATCCCTCACAATGTGAAGTTTGCCCTGTTGGACGGGAGGGGAGGAGGGACTCTGGAGGCTTGGCATGAAATGAAAAGGATGCTGTGGTCGTTATTTGTACAAGATATCCAAGATACAGTAGCAGGAGGATAAAAGTCCAACACTATAACAACAGTTTTTTCTGCTTTTACATCAATGCTACCGACTATTGAGTGTTTCCACAAATTTCAACAAAAGAGCTAAGAAGAACATGATGGCAAACTGAAAAGATCATAAGCATCTTCATTACTTGCACAACCATCTCACTGGTCGTGTGAAGTCGTCAACAACCTGTCCCACTCACAGTGAATTTTTCTGACTCTTAATCTGATGCGCTGAAACATCAGCTACTTAATTTTCTAATTTTAGTCAGGAGTAGGCAGGGAAATGTCTTGGGTTAAGTGGGCTGAAAATCTAGACTGTTAGCGTTCACATCACACATTGCAGCTCACCATGCACATCCAGTTTTGTGCATGTTTGAGAGCACCATAAACTTCCCCTTTGAGGCCTGTTCACACCAACGATTTAAAACATATTGAGTTGAAATTTGAGATATTTTACAATGAGTCCTTCTACAACATTCTGATCTGTTTTAAAACAATATGACAGGAGGAGACTGAAACTCTTTTCAGATATGACAGGCCTACTCAAGAGCCTGCCTTCAAGTCAGACTAGCGTGGTATCACTTTTTCCCACACACTTTACCTGGGCTGTTCACCAAGCTGTATGAAGGGCAATCCAAGTATGTTTCATGACCAAGCAGCAACCTCTGGTGTGAAAAATGAAGCCAATGCAGAAGTGTCTAATCTGGCATTTGTCGAGGGTCCCCTTGTTCTCTATTCATTTCCATGATTTCCGAAAGACCAACAATGATGAATAATTGTACCATTGAGTGAGTTAGAAGTGTGAACAGAACTGTGTTTAACTGCAATTTTCTTTTTCAGATATAACATGCAACAGACGTGAGGTTCCAAATACTGATATTGTGAGCAATGACAAGCAGACGTACATTTACAACGAAAAGGTCAGGTACGTCTGCAAGGATGGTTTTGAAGGACAATTCACTCTCTCCTGTAGAGACAATTACTGGTCTGGGAATGCGAGATGCGAAGGTAAGAAACAACAGAACAATAAGTTCATTGTTAAAATACATTGTTTTGTTTAGCTCATCTGTTTTTTTTGTCGTCGAAGCATTTGGAGAAGATCTTTCGAAATTACGACTTGGAGAAACCCTTAAAACTTCATGACTCCCAGTCAAAACAGTAACTTTTAGATCAGTTAAGAAACACAGAAAATCTTAGTTAGTCAGTCGGCAAGCAAAAAAATACTGTGAATTTTATTTCATTGACCTATGCTCCCTTTGAGTTGTTGGAAACCCCGACAGCAGAACAAGGGGTTGTGTTATACCGAGGTCACACTACACCACTTTATTTTCTGTTATGACGGTCACTGTGTCAGATTAGGCGATCACAGAGACAAACATTTTGTACCGTGACTTGACCGACATGACATGACAGAATACATGGTTGTTAGCTGATGTGATGCCGTTGGAAGGAAGACAATGGGCAAGACGACACCCGGAAAGAAGAATGTAAACGAAAACAAAATAATTGCCAGAACGTGACAAACTCTTCCAGTGTCGCATAGTTCAGTCTCGCAGGACCAATTTTCTGTAAAAAGGTTGTGAGGCGTCCCAGATGCAGCCTTGATTGTAGTTCAGGAAGAACTGTGTTACAGGATACAACGATCCATTTTCAAGGTAGACGGGTCCTGAAACCCTACATCTGCCGGATCGCTTACGTGTAGTCTGACCTCAGCTTAGACTTACTCAATGTTGGTCGTGTTTTTTTTTCCCAATGATAGTGAAGTTTATGCTTATCACTTAAATCCCATGTATTTCACCAATTACCCTGCACACCTGTAAAGAAACAACCGCTTGACAATAACCCACAGCACTTGTGACAGTGTAGCTTCTAATACTTAGTTTGGCTAATCATAGAATGCGAGCTAATGCTAATCAAAACTACTTGGTTACTGTTGTGAACTGATGCTAGCTCAAGTATGCAAGCATTAGTACACATGACTGTTGGTTCAATAACAAGAAAACGTTAACGTCACTGAGCGGCTGAGACATAAAAGTGTTAGACAACACATCTGTGCTGGGCACGCACACTTGAGCTCTTGTTTTGACGTTATAAGTGCATTCCTGTTGATTTGATCGAGCATTACTTTAAAGAAGACATATACATATATATGTCCACCTTTTCAAACAGTCCCCTGTGGTCTATATGAAACATCTGTGCTGTGCTTTGGTCAAAATATAACATGAATCAAGCACCAGAGGAGGTTTTTGACCCTGAATAAACCAGCTCTCTCAGAACGCTTCGTTTGGGTGTGTGTGTGTCTCTTTAAATGCAATAAGCCCCCCCCCCCCCCCCCCCCGAGTTTTCCCGGTAGACATCACTCCTCTGTAGTGAGAATAGAAATGGCGTACCTGTGCAAAAGTTTTGCTATAGGCTGGGGGTGGAGTCCATGGGTGGAGATACCAGGGGAGGGGAGGGGATTTTTCTTTTTTTACCAGCTACCCACTGTGACATCACAAGGAGAGCAAATTTGAAACTGAGCATTTTTCTCTGTGCTGTAAGGCTTATGCAGACCACAATCAAAGGACTGGATGGATTTATTTCACATTTTGTGGGTTGGTAGACACTCAGCTAGTTTACCCAAATCTATGTTCAAAAACATTGTCAAAGTGGATTTTTCATATTATGGCCCCTTTAAACAAATACCATACAACCTGACCAGTTAACCAACACTATTGATTATCACCCCATAGAAAAAAAACTTTGTACAACTGAACAGATCTGTAGTTATTTTAAACAAAATATCATGGGGCTCTGATGTGAATATATAATTACAGTTGTTCTGTCCTAAGATAATGTTTTAGTTTATATTATTTATTTTCAGCAGCAGTAAAATGTTGGAAAAAAAAGACTATTACAGGAATTTTCATTTCAACACTTTATTGGCGATGAGCCTACTTAAATAAGATGTTTTGTTTTTCATGAAGATAGTCAAATGAAGTGGAGGTCGTGTGACTAACCGGACACTTTCACTGAATCTGTTTCAGAGGTACCGTGTAAAAAACATCCCATCCCCAATGCAATCATTACCCACAATGAAAGAGAAACATACCAGCACAACCAAGCAGTACAATACACCTGTGAGCACGATCGTGATATGTCCTTCTATGTTACCTGTGAGAAAGGTAAATGGACTGGGATTCAGAGCTGTCGAGGTAAGAAATTTTACGACAGTACAATGACAAATACAATGCTTAACGTGCGATTCTAGTTTCTTTGTCTTTTCAGCAACAGAAATATCTAACACTTCCTCCAAGATAAAAAGAAGCAAACGTTTAATATAAAAGGTGTTACTAGTTCGAACAGTTAAATGTTCATTTGTTTTCACATGCGTAAAAGTTCACAGCTTAGAGAGATTGTTCTTGAATTTAGACTCAAGCACTGGAATCATACAGACGACGATGGCCCTCCTCAAAGGACTTCACATGATACTATATACTTATATCTTTCCATCAGTGCTGTCTGAATATAATCCTTCTTTGTTCTTTTTTTATATAGCGACTGCATGTGGAGAAGCTGAAATTCAAAATGGATTTGTTGTTGCTCAGGAGGATAACAAGCTGTACTACACCTGCAATGACAATTTTAAGCTTCCCACCAAAGGCTGGTGGGGAGAAGCCGTATGTGAAGGCAGGAAGTGGTCTGGACTTCAAGACTGCATTGGTAATTCATCTTTGTTGGGTTGATGGGGATGGGGGGGGGGGGTTGGTTGTGCAGCCCCTAGCAGCCCTACAGCATTCTGCCCCAAGTGAGGCTTCCAGAGAGCTGGCCAATCAGAAGAAAGTGGACACATAGGGAGGTAGGCCTTAAAGAGACAGTATCAGGCAGAGGCTGAAATAACGGATTTGACAGATGCCAGTATACGATAAATAAGGAGTTTTTTTAGATGCAAATCAGGCGAAAGCTGCTCTATAGCTTTCGCATACTGACAAACATGAAAGGTTAAAATGAGGAGAATATGAGATCTTTAAAGAGTGTTTGGGTTGAGAGAGGATTTTTCAAAGAAATAAACAAAACACTATTCTGTGAAACAGTAAATGCATATTACACCAGTCCTCTGACATAGCACATTTTGTTATAGAAGTTTGTTATATAATTTTAGTAAACACCATGATAATACATTTTGTGCTATTTTAAATTTCTTTGCTTGATCACACTTTTGTGACATCACTGAAGACGGCTTCTTCATAGAGGAAACATTTTGTTCATTTACTTCAATTATCACGGCTGTCAGCAGCGATGTAATTAATGTCTCTTTGTAATCATCTCCACTGTAGAGGAAAGTCGGTGCGGAGAAGCTCCTGTGATTCCTAATGCGGAAGTCATTTTCCTAAACCTCCGTAGCAGACAAGAACTGCAGATAGCTTGTCAAGATGGATACCGCAATCAGGTTGACCGTTTATCATGTGAAGACGGAAATTGGAATTTAGATGAATTATTGCCGGAATCAATTTGTAAACGTGAGTTAATAGTCAGTTCTTACTGTAGATCATAAAAGTATTTATAAAATGTACAGGATGTAACTCTGTGCTGTGTGTATTTTGATATGTTGCAGCTGTCTCCAATCCCTGCAAACCCCCACCTAAAATTGAAAATGCTGTAATTGTGAAGTCTTACCAAAAGCAATACCTGTCTGACTCGGAGGTGACTTATCAGTGCCGTGATAAGTACACGATGGAGGGAGAGGGCACGGTTCGATGCTTGGATGGCCAATGGGAAATTAAGAACATTTCATGTAGACGTAAGTACATCCAAAATGAAAGGATTTCAAGAAAAAGTACGTACAAATTCAAAACTGTCCTCATGAATATGTGCAAAATGGAATTTCAGTGCATCAAATTTTTTGCTTGATGGTTCAACGGACACTTGATTTGTAGCTGTGAGTTTTATGACATCTTCAGAGTTTTGGTGTGTTTACCGACACAAATTAATTTATGATGATCAGAGATTAGATACGATGGAATTAAAAATGAGATCAATTGGTGTAGATATACTCACACATTTATTGTTTTGATCCCTCAAATTCCTGTATGTGAAGGTAAGAGCTTAAACAGAGGCCCACTATCAGCTGGTACTTTATTTATTTGTCATTCCCTTATAAAGAGTTAATCGCTCACCTGCCTAAGTGTGGATACATTTATATTTGATCCTGTTTCCTTCTCCAGCTCGGAAGTGTCCAGTGATTCATGTCGGCGATAATGTTCAGGTGATTAGGGACCCGGAGGACGCAACCTACGACAATGTAGTTCGATTTAGCTGCAAGTCTAACACAGAGGTTCTGAATGGGACGTCGGAGATCTCATGTGATGAAAATGGAGAGTGGAGTGACCAGGCTCCAAGCTGTGAAGGTAAAGCAGGCTTTCTTAAGAGAGAACCAAACACACAGGAAAATCTGATGTGCAAAAAAACTGCAGTTCCTCAAGTGTCCACTAGAGGCTGGCTGCAAAACCCAAGGAATCCCCATTGGGTCATGTAGCATATTTAAACATGTCTTCAGCTTAGTACAAAAAACATTTTTTGGTGTCTAGCTCATATCTTTGTTCGTGCACCACGTAAGGGGGAAGAATTATTTTTTTACTTGTGTTTTGATTATGCAAAGGCAAAGAGTTTTGTATTTTTTCAAAATTGGGGCGTGGGTGATATGAAAGGCAGGTGGGCAGGTTGAAGCTCTTTACCAGGAAGCTTAAAGTTCCTGCATTAACAAAATATTTTCCACTTTTTAATCCAGTGTACCTGTGTTAAAAGTTAATTTATCTGACATTATTTTTCAATTTAATTCAATATTTTTTTTTAACTTTACATACTTTATTGATCCCTGAGGGGAAATTCTGGTTTACATTCTGTTATTGAGAGACATGCTTCTCATATAGAAAGGCCTGAAAAACACACATGCACAAACAGGACCTGTGGACATGCATTAGAGGAGAGATAAGTTGGGCTGCTGTGCTCAAAAAGTGACATGGCACCTCTCCAGCCACCAGACCAACATTATCTGCCATTAACTAACTTGTTGAGCAATTAAAAGGCTTTGTCGGAGCTAACAATCCAATGAAATTCATCCCAACATTATGCCCCGCCTTTTGTATTGTGATTAGTGCAGGACTTTAAGGTCCGCCTCAGCTCCAACTCTTTGCTTCTTTCTAGTTTGATTTAGGTGGAGACAGCTTTTCCAATACTAGGATTCAGAATGCCTCTTTAAAACCAGTGGGTGAAGTCACTGAGACTACGTCCATGTTTTATAAAGTCTATGATTTTTACACAATTAGAAAAAATGGTGGTAAAATAAATCCCCTTAAAAAATAGAGGAAAAAAAAGTAAACATAAAATGTTGCTTCTGATTGCTAATCATGCACATACACAATGCTTCCTCTTGGACATCATGACTTTATTTATGCTCAGGATGGCATGTTTTAAATGATAATAGTCAACAGTTAAGATTTGACAGGAAAATTAGCTCCACATGGTGCAACTGCTATGCAAGACTTTCACAGGGGAAACTGAGTTTTTTCACCGCAATCTAACAGGGAGAACAGAAAGTAAAAGTGGAACTGTTCAGAATGAATTCAGATATTTGAGAAGCGCCACAGCAATCTCTTTCCAGGAATCCATTCTCTAATGGTGTGAGCATGACAGAACTCTGGTTAAGGATATATTAAAGGGAATCTGCTGTCTATCATCATTTAGTGTCATTTTATTTATACCCATATTTCAATGAATAATTGTAAAATAGGTCCAAAATGTTGGTGTCAAATGAGCAGCTGATCTTCATTGCATTCTTTATGGAAAACAAATGTAGTTATTATGATGCTTGTGTGTATATTTTTCAACAGAGTTCAAATGTGCAATACCTCAGATTCAACATGGACGATTAACTGGAGAGCTCCGAGATCACAAAGAACATGAAGTCTGCATTTTGAGTGCAATCAGAGGTTCAATAAACAGACTGAAAGACCGTCAAAATGCACAAAAATAGGAACTAAAGCCGAGTTCAGTCCAGCGCCTGTGTGTGAGCGTAAGTATAAACTGAGTTATATCGGTTATATCACACTGACTGGTGGGAGGTGAAGGGTTGTTGTGGGATTGTCGACTGCCTCGATCAACAAACTGATGAACTGAATCTTCTTTTTCTCCTACAAAATGCAGCAACAAAATGTAAACTGCCGCTGACGACACTCAAAGGCACCAGATATGACACTTCCCAACATGTGTTTTCACCTGGAGACACAGTCACAACCAGATGTGATTATAAGTACTGGATCTCTACACCTCAGAGCACCTCAGCTGTATCCACATGTAATAACGACGGAGAATGGGATATCACACCAGTTTGCCAAGGTATAGAAGTGCATGGTATCACAGTAATCACATCATGAGACGGTTGTTTACTGCGCCGTGTTTATCAGTCATTAAACTGTGGTGATGATGATTATTAATGCCATCTTGATCTACCAAAGATTAACAAGTCTTTCTCTTGTTTTAGAGGTGAGGTGCAGCATTGAAACAGACTCACGTGTGTCTTATTGGGGTGTCTATCAGGGACAAATAATAGCACTGGATGAGGGTGCAAGCTATCAGTGTAAAATAGGATATAGGGAAACATCAAGCTGGGCCAGGTGCACCAGAGATGGATGGAGTCCAAATCCACTTTGTCAAGGTATTGTGAAGTTTTCTTTAGTTAATAATATGAGTATTAATGTTCAACCCGTGTCTGAGAAAGCGGGGAAGGACATTGAGGTCTAATTAGGATTAGCCTTCTGGCTGATGTACCACAGAAAAATTCTAGACATGTTCAGGAACACCAGCCACTGAAATTTTCCAAACTTGCTACTCACACTTGTCCCTCACAATGGGCCTCAGTCACTAACAGTGCATACGCATAAAGCTTAAACCGTGCGTACAAACGTTTGAAGCACAAATCTGGGATTCATCAATATAGTCTTACTTGAAATTGTTGTTACTCTGCAAACAAAAGTAGAACTTCCTCAGACCATGCGTACGCACAAATGATTAACCAGCTTTCTCAGAAAATGTTAACATAACTATTTTAACTAAATGCATGACATATTAAAAATACATTCATTAAAATATATATATACACGAAAATGTTTAAAAAGATGCATAAAAAATGTGAATTAACTAATGAATTGACTGAATGTATTAAATAATTATGAATTGTTCACCTTTTCATCCTTTAATCTAAAATCTTAAATCTAATCGTCGACCACTCCCACTAATATTGCCATGAAATATTACACCTGTTACCAAAACCAGCTGACTAATCTGAGACTATTTAAGAGCATACAGGGAATTTACATGATTGTGATTTATGTATAAGAAAGTGTAAAGATCTAGCCTTGCTGAAAGATATTGCAGCCGGTGCCTTCAGAAGAGAGTGTGTTGAATGGTTTATCAGCTGATTCTGTCTGCCAATGCATGTACAGAATTGCTGTGACTATGTCATTAACTGTAACAGTATCTAAGCCCCCAGACACACCGCTCTTTTTTGCCTTTTGGGGCCATCTCCTAAAAACTTCTACTCGTTTCCACCTCACCTTCCGCTCTCGTACTGATACACCAAACGGATGTCCTTACATGGAGAGATGGGGGCGTGATAGAATGACGATTGCGGGTTGCAGGCACGCGCCTCACGGTCGTGGTCGTTATTTGTACAAGATATCCAAGATAGCTGGAGGATAAAAGTCCAACACTATAACAACAGTTTTTCTGCTTTTATATCAATGCTACCATTATTGGGCATTTACACATTATCAACAAAAGAGCTAAGAAGAACATAATGGCCAACTGAAGAGATCATAAGCATCTTCATTACTTGCACAACGATCTCACTGGTAGCGTAAAATCGTCATCACCCCGTGCCACTCACAGTGAATTTTCCTGACATATCAGCTCAGGCTACTTAATTTGCAAGTTCTACCCGGGAGTTGGCCAGAAAAAAGTCTGGGTAATGAATGGTATGAATCTAGGCAGTTGGCATTCACATCACACATGCAGCTCAACATGCACGTCCCGTTTTGTGCATGTTTGAGAGCACCATATACGTCCCCTTTGAGGCCAGTTCACACCAACGATTATTTTCCAAGATGGTGCAGTTTATTTATTTTTATGGTTGTTTTGTTTTGTGTATGACAGGAGGAGACTGAAACTCTTAACATATGACAGGCCTACTCAAGAGCCTGCCTTAAAGTCAGACTAGCGTGGTATCACTTTTTCCCACACACTTTACCTGGGCTGTTCACCAAGCTGTATGAAGGGCAATCCAAGTATGTTTGGCGACCAAGCAGCAACCTCTGGTGTGAAAAATGAAGCCAATGCAGAAGTGCCTAATCTGGCATTTGTCGAGGGTCCCCTTGTTCTCTATTCATTTCCATGATTTCCGAAAGACCAACAATGATGAATAATTGTACCATCGAGTGAGTTAGAAGTGTGAACAGAACTGTGTTTAACTGCAATTTTCTTTTTCAGATATAACATGCAACAGACGTGAGGTTCCAAATACTGATATTGTGAGCAATGACAAGCAGACGTACATTTACAACGAAAAGGTCAGTTACGTCTGCAAGGATGGTTTTGAAGGACAATTCATTCTCACCTGTAAAGACAATTACTGGTCTGGGAATGCGAGATGCGAAGGTAAGAAACAACAGAACAATAAGTTCATTGTTAAAATACATTGTTTTGTTTAGCTCATCTGTTTTTTTTTGTCGTGTAAGCATTTGGAGAAGATCTTTCGAAATTACGACTTGGAGAAACCCTTAAAACTTCATGACTCCCAGTCAACACAGTAACTTTTAGATCAGTTAAGATCTTAGTTAGTCAGTCAGTAAGCAAAAAAATACTGTGAATTTTATTTCATTGACTTATGCTCCCTTTGAGTTGTTGGAAACCCCGACAGCAGAACAAGGGGTTGTGTTATACCAAGGTCCCACTACACCACTTTATTTTCTGTTATGACGGTCACTGTGTCAGATTAGGCGATCACAGAGACAAACATTTTGTACCGTGACTTGACCGACATGACATGACAGAATACATGGTTGTTAGCTGATGTGATGCCGTTGGAAGGGAGACGATGGGCAAGACGACACCCGGAAAGAAGAATGTAAACGAAAACAAAATAATTGCCAGAACGTGACAAACTCTTCCAGTGTCGCATAGTTCAGTCTCGCAGCACCAATTTTCTGTAAGGAGGTTGTGAGGCGTCCCAGATGCGGCCTTGATTGTAGTTCAGGAAGAACTGTGTTACAGGATACAACGATCCATTTTCAAGGTAGACGGGTCCTGAAACCCTACATCTGCCGGATCGCTTACAACGTGTAGTCTGACCTCAGCTTAGACTTACTCAATGTTGGTCGTGTTTTTTTTTCAATGATAGTGAAGTTTATGCTTATCACTTAAATCGCATGTATTTCACCAATTACCCTACACACCTGTAAAGAAACAACCGCTTGACAATAACCCACAGCACTTGTGACAGTGTAGCTTCTAATACTTAGTTTGGCTAATCATAGAATGCGAGCTAATGCTAATCAAAACTATTTGGTTACTGTTGTGAACTGATGCTAGCTCAAGTATGCAAGCATTAGTACACATGACTGTTGGTTCAATAACAAGAAAACGTTAACGTCACTGAGCGGCTGAGACATAAAAGTGTTAGACAACACATTTGTGCTGGGCACGCACACTTGAGCTCTTGAGTGGGTAGGAAAGTATTCAGACCCCTTTACATTTTTCACTCTTTGTTTCATTGCAGCCATTTGCTAAAATCAAAAAAGTTCATTTTATTTCTCATTAATGTACACTCAGCACCCCATCTTGACAGAAAAAAAAACAGAAATGTAGAAATTTTTGCAAATTTATTAAAAAAGAAAAACTGAAATATCACATGGTCATAAGTATTCAGACCCTTTGCTCAGTATTGAGTAGAAGCACCCTTTTGAGCTAGTACAGCCAATGAGTCTTCTTGGGAATGATGCAACAAGTTTTTCACATCTGGATTTGGGGATCCTCTGCCATTCTTCCTTGCAGATCCTCTCCAGTTCTGTCAGGTTGGATGATGAACGTTGGTGGACAGCCATTTTCAGGTCTCTCCAGAGATGCTCAATTGGGTTTAGGTCAGGGCTCTGGCTGGGCCAGTCAAGAATGGTCCAAAGCCACTCCTTTGTTATTTTAGCTGTGTGCTTAGGGTCATTGTCTTGTTGGAAGGTGAACCTTCGGCCCAGTCTGAGGTCCTGAACACTCTGGAAGAGGTTTTCTTCCAGGATATCTCTGTACTTGGCCGCATTCATCTTTCCTTCAATTGCAACCAGTCGTCCTGTCCCTGCAGCTGAAAAACACCCCTATAGCATGATGCTGCCACCCCCATGTTTCACTGTCGGGATTGTATTGGGCAGGTGATGAGCAGTGCCTGGTTTTCTCCACACATACCGCTTAGAATGAAAGCCAAAAAGTTCAATCTTGGCCTCATCAGACCAGAGAATCTTCTTTCTCATAGTCTGGGAGTCCTTCATGTGTTTTTTGGCAAACTCTATGCGGGCTTTCATACGTCTTGCACTGAGGAGAGGCTTTCGTCGGGCCACTCTGCCATAAAGCCCCGACTGGTGGAGGGCTGCAGTGATAGTTGACTTTGTGGAACTTTCTCCCATCTCCCTACTGCATCTCTGGAGCTCAGCCACAGTGATCTTTGGGTTCTTCTTTATCTCTCTCACCAAAGCTCTTCTCCCACGATTGCTCAGTTTGGCTGGACGGCCAGGTCTAGGAAGAGTTCTGGTCATCCCAAACTTCTTCCATTTAAGGATTATGGAGGCCACTGTGCTCTTAGGAACCTTGAGTGCTGCAGAAATTCTTTTGTAACCTTGGCCAGATCTGTGCCTTGCCACAATTCTGTCTCTGAGCTCCTTGGGCAGTTCCTTCAACCTCATGATTCTCATTTGCTCTGACATGCACTGTGAGCTGTAAGGTCTTATATAGACAGGTGTGTGCCTTTCCTAATCAAGTCCAATCAGTTTAATTAAACACAGCTGGACTCCAATGAAGGAGCAGAACCATCTCAAGGAGGATCAGAAGAAATGGACAGCATGTGAGTTAAATATGAGTGTCACAGCAAAGGGTCTGAATACATATGACCATGTGATATTTCAGTTTTTCTTTTTTAATAAATTTGCAAAAATTTCTACTTTTCTGGTTTTTTTCTGTCAAGATGGGGTGCTGAGTGTACATTAATGAGAAATAAAATGAACTTTTTTGATTTTAGCAAATGGCTGCAATGAAACAAAGAGTGAAAAATGTAAAGGGGTCTGAATACTTTCCGTACCCACTGTATATGTCCACCTTTTCAAAGAGTCCCCTGTGGTCTACATGAATCAGAGCAAGCAGCAACCTCTTGTGTGAAAAATGAAGCCAATGCAGAAGTGCCTAATCCAGCATTTGTCGAGGGTCCGCTTGAGGCTGACTCTAAGAGCCCTGAAACTCACATACACACCCCATTCCAAAAAATAAGTTTTTACAGTAGATATTAACATGTTTACAGCCTGGTCCAAAAAAAGAAATAGGTCTTATTAGTTATTGTCCTCATGGGCAAATAGCCTCTCAGTGGTGGTCTTGATCGGTCTTAATTTAAAATCCTGAGTCTGCCCAATCTGAGACAAGACCGAGTAAAAATGCTTTGTTTCAAGACAAGACTGAGACCTAAAAAAAGGCTTACAGACCGGTCTTGAGACCAAGACCAATTGTTGATTCTATTGCCTGAGTGCCTGTGTTTCTGTATGTTTCTTGGTTCCATTTTGTATTTATACCGACAACCCAGGACCTCGACTTGATAATCTCGGAATGTCCTTTGAGAGAAACACACAACAACTGAATTATGACCACTACCATTCAGTTTGACCAGTACTGTAAACCCAGTTTAATCCATCACAAATGCAATGGCATTTCACCCATTTCAACAAACAAAGCAGGCACTGAGGAAGATCTAAAGGCTCCTGAACAGATTCTTAATGCTTTAGATTGAACAATATCTATTTTTTTAAAGAGTCTTGGCAGCAGAGACATACATAACACAGCCATGATCAAACACTGACCTTATACATAGCTTGATAAATTGTGTGCATGGTTCCTCTCTCTGCACCCATTCACAACCACATAAACGTTTCTTTCTATGTAGTACTTTTCCACATTTCTCAATTATATTTCTGATATGAACGGCCCAAGTGAGCCTTTCATCAAACCATACTACCAAAAACTTAAATTCCTTTACTCTTTCTAAAGGACAACCATACAAACACAGCTCTATATCAAGCATTGTTTTTCTTAAAGCCAAACACTGTGTACAACACTACAGCACATCAATTAAACCTGATGCATTTTGAGACGTGGTACTGAACACCTTTTTTTCTCTCTCTCTCTCTTTTTTTTCTCTCCCACAGCTTTGTAACCAGCTCCAGCAGACTCTCAATAAAAACCACCATATTTACATTTTTCCATGGGCCTTTAATTTGTTGTGTGGTCAGAGCATTTAATAAACCAGCTGTTTTGATTGTTCTTATTGTTGAAGCTTCATGATGAATAACTAACACTATGCTTATTGGAAAGGGTATCTTGGAAAAATGTATTCAATTTTGGTTTATAATGCTGAAGTTGTGAAGATGTGGCTTATACAGTAAGCATTCAAAGACTATTTCATTTCAAACTTTTAAAAGCAGATGAATTAAAAACAGTTACAATTTCAAACAAAGTGGCTTGAAATCAAAAGAATACTAATCTTTAGAGTTTGCTGGTGTTTGGGGCATCTAAAGAAAATGCAGATTTGCAGAGCGAAAACTAATGGGACTTTAACAACGAGCCAATCAGAAGAACGAGTTATGTAGGTGCCAGAACTCCACTCCAACAGGTCTGTGGTGTGAGGTGCATGTTTTACAATAAGAGCCTTGAAAATATGTAAAAAACAAAGTTTGTTGCGCCGGGAGCTGGCCACGACACAAGACCGGCCTGTCGGCAGCAACCGTCTCACAGCTATATTGCTATATAGCCGCCTTCGGCCGCTGCCAGTTCAGCAGCCGAGACATAATGCCTGCCTGTCGGCAGCGGTGAGGACGAGGAGCCAGGAGTCTGTTCTTTGCCACAAATTTCCAAGATCAATTCTAGAAGAAATTTCGGAATCAGTTGAGGAAATGGCCTTATGTGTTGAAGTAAATATGTCTGTAAATGTTTTTATTACTATATTTCTACTGCTATACTGTATATTTTGGAGAAACTGTATCGATGGAATTTCTCTCTGGGATTAATAAAAATGCAGATTTACCGAGGTCAGCGAAAACTAGAGGGACTCTTGCCACTACCTGCCCAGGGACAACAGATGGAAAGCAACTAGTTAGGTAAATCTGGTACAAAGCATCTCTTCTCTTCTGAAACTAATGGGTTTTTTTTCACTGTCCCTGATTCAAATAAACTAATAAACTTTACTAAACTAAACTTTAACAAGAAGCCAATCAGAAGAACGAATTCATGTAGGTGCCCGAATTCCACTCCAACAAAGCCAACGTTCAAAAAGCCAACTTTCTGTCGCAACTTGGAGACATGGACAGTTTTTACAGGGAACTTAAAAGTAAATTCCTCATCGAGCCACATGCCAAGATATTTATACTCATTGACACTCTCAATGTCTGAGCCATTTAAAGAAGATATGTGTACACTTTCATAATCAATATTTTTGGCTCTGGAGAATAGAATTAATTTTGTTTAAATCTCATGAAGTAGCTGTTTTTGGTTAATGATAAATTCTTGGATACAATTAAAAGGAAGTTGCAAGTTTTTTGATGGCTAATTGTACAGAATCTGCAGTACTGTACAAAATAGTGTCGTCTGCATAGCAGCGGGCATGACAACCATTCAAAGAAGAAACAATGTCATTAATATAATCAGTGAACAGCATGGGACCCAAGACTGAACCTTGTGGCACACCTCTATTGATAAACAAAAATTCAGATTTAGCGTGACCTAACTTAACACACTGACGTTTGTCAAACAAGTTATATATAGAGGGCATGTTTAATAATAAATAAATTACCCTTGGGGGTAGTAGTTCTGTCTGTAGGGACTGAATTTACCCTCTGGGATTAATAAAGTATGTCAAATTTAAATTAAATTAAAAGCATTTCTTTAAAAAAACATTTTTATAATATATCTACTTCTTGATCAAGGTTACTGCAGATTCTTAAGCAGTCTTAAATGTTGGGTCATAAAGTGTCTTAAAAAATAATGATAAATCTAATAGTTAGGGCTGGTGCTGGTGTAGACCGGCTCCTAGTTATGCTGCTATAGGCTTAGACTACCGGGGCAACTGGCACCTTGAGCTCTTATTTCTCCCTCTCTCTATCTCTGTCTCTCGCTGTGCGTACAGTACATCATATTACTGCATGTATCTATCTGTAAATCTCAGTCACTAACCACATATTTTCCTGGAGGCTCCTCAGGATTGTTGGTGGACGGCCTTCCTGAACAACAACTCCCCACTTCGCCACTGTTCCCTATATCCTCTTTCTGCATCTTATCCCATCTCCCCCTATCCCTTTCCAAGCCCGGAGCAGTCTAGGCCTGTGAAGGTTGTTTCGTCATTAGCCTGGGATCCGGATTTACAAATATATGAACCCATTTATAGAGTAGCTTAAACTCACCATTCAATTGGCAGCTTGCACATTGACTACTGGTTGTGTTTCATATCTCATATCAGCATTATTTAAACACACATATAGGTAAGGTGCATATTTGGCCAAGGAAGAACGTTAAATTTATAGCGCCTCAAATGTTTTTTCCATCGCAATTCCACAATTCATACTCATTCAATAAAAATAAAAGTAGGCCTATATACTGTGGTGTATTCATGGTCTTACCTTTACTGGTAAACAAAGTCCATTCGCCTATCCTTCTTGTAAAAAAGGCCTGTTCAGGTTAGTATTTTGTTCTGCATCTCCCGTTTCTGAGTGCACCTGAATGTGTTGCTCATTGTCTGAGCGCCCCTGAATGCAGCATGCACAGCGCATTTCCGAAGTGACGGCAGTGAGAGGAGACCTATGGAGGAGACATGCCCAGTTTGGATTCAACTAAAGGGACTCGTGTATTTTCTGACGGACTTTATTGTTATTGTGTGCGTCCTTGAGACAAATGATTTGCGTATTGCTGGAAATTAATGTCTTTTGTATTGTTCATAGCAACTTTCAATGTCTGTTCAATTTCTAAGTGCTGATGTTGTTTTTCACTTTAAATACATGCTAATTGATAACAGTAGCAAGTGTTTTCAACAGTCTGTATCCTGGATGTATAAGTGACATTCCTAATTGTCTTTCTTTTATTTATTTCATTATAGAACCCACACACACACACACACATATATATATACACATATAGGTTCAGTTTTTTCAAGAAAAGGAAAGGCCTCAAACTCATGCCTTGTACTGTTCACCTGAATTTTATATAAATGGCTTGAACTGGAACTGGATTCTCCATCTTTCTTCCTCACTCACACCTTTGCATCAAAAATAGTGTCCTGACCCGACACCCTGAGGTGATTGCTGCCACCCTTTATTGGATTCTTAATACCTCTCATACACTTCTGGACTAAAATATCTGTAACTTTGTCCTTAAAAGTCCTCATTATCTTCTTTTAGTTTTAAAAGTCTTCCATTATTTATCACTTCACATTTTGATTGAAAGTCCAATTCTGAGAAATATTTAAGCTTAGATATAAAATCTCCCTCTTCCATTTTTGCAATCAGAGCCAAATTTTGAAATAAAAATTCTACATAGAAGGGGAGCAACATCAAAACAAGCATAAACTCTTGACCTTATGAGCCTCACGCAACCTGAAGCACGCCCCCTGCAGTTGAGGCAGAGGTACTGGCTGCCTCACCTCATGCTTTTTCAGTGCAGTTTTATGTCAAATTAGACTAAATATGTTATAAACACACGTGAAATACATTACTTATTCTATGGAAAGTGAGGACGTATAATTAAAGTGTCTACAAACATTACATTGGTGACATCAGTAAGAAAGCAAAAGGCATACGCTCAACCCGGTTTGTGAGGGATTGCGCAATCTGGGGTGAGGCTCAACTCGTCGCTGCCTCACCTCGCATGTCTCCGGCGGAGAGTTTTTGGGTTTGGGTTTTAAAAGGTCTTACATTTCAAGAGCCAGTTGGCCCTTCAGTTGTCTGAGGTGGGAGGGTGTTTTCAACACTGGTACTTTTTCATCTTTGAATGTCCTCAAACTGAGAACAACAAGTTACTGACGTGAAGGAATTCAGTCTCGTGTACTCAGCATTGTGGTCATTTTTCTTTTTTCCTTTTAAGCATGAATCATTCATGTTGACATAAAACTGTTTTTGCTTGCTCAGTCAGTGACTTTTAATCTAATTTCTTCATTGACTGGTTGCTCCATGGAGGGATTTTTTTCTAATGAACTTTGTCTTGTACCAGCTCTATTCCAGTAATATTTAAATCTGTTTGCCATCTGGAAGCCTAATGTTTGCAAACACAAATGTAACAAACATTCAGCATTTCTATTTCACTTGAACTTTTGGTGCCATCTGGTTAAAGTGTGATTTCATGTGTTGTATTATATATGTTTACTTTCATAACTAAATAATTAAATATCTAAATTAATTAAAAATTGTTAGTTTTTTGTTAAGAACTTACATTACCTTAAATATTTCCAACAGTAATCAAAGCCAGAGAAATCCGTAATTTTATAGTATTAACAGGACGTGTCTTGTGCTGCCATGATGAGCCGCCATGACAGACGCAAAATGTTTATCGTTGCCAAGGAAACAGCGGCTGTTACGTTAAAGATCGTGAGCTGCTATTGAAAAGCTGCTGTACTGTTGCTTTATGTGCTGCTGTGATAAAAACATCATGTAAATTATGACATTATATATAATTATATTTAAATCTATTCTTTTTGTGAGGTCGGATTCGCTCGTTCGTATTGACTACAGAGTTCATTTTCACAGTGGGGGGATTCCCCACTAGCCTAAACATCATCTTTTGTTATTGTTTTGATTGAGAGCCCCATGGCAGAGGATTTTACATATTGTGCGTTCAAGGCTTTTAAGGTTTAAATGAATCTGTTTCACTTTTTTGAAACATGAGCATGCAGGAAGTAAAAAATGTGCATGTTGTATGTTGAACATTAAAATTACATTAATTTAGATATTTGAATGTAAACAATGTCATTCAATTCTACATACTATACCTTTAATATAGGTGTGCCACAAGGTTCAGTCTTGGGTCCCATGCTGTTCACTGTTCATGTTGGTTGGTTGTCATGCCCGTCTCTGTCCAGACAACACTATTTTGTATTGTACTGCAGATTCTGTACAATTAGCCATCAAAAACTTGTAACTTGCTTTTAATTCTATGGAAGAATTTGTCATTAACCAAAAACAGCTACTTAATGAGATCAAAACAAAATTCTATTTTCTTCAAATTTCACATTATTGTGCAGAAAAATCATTGTTGATTTTTCAACTGGACGCCGTCTATCACTC